CTAAAGTGACATTTTCTTCTTGGATAACATGGCACAATAATTACAATACTATTATATTAATATCATCCTCATAAACGAAAACCTAGAAAATGTTATTTGTTTGAAGTTCCATTTTTAGAATGTAATATTTTTTGTCCAAATCATTGGGGTTTCGAATTTTCAAATCCAAAACTTTCAGATATAAAATAGCAATTTTCAGTTAGAATCTTGATCAAAAGTAAACAAAAAAATGGGGAAAAGCAAAAAGTCAAGAGAATAAGAAAAACAGAGGAGATGGGAGAGGAAGGATAAGAGGAAGAAGGGAAATGAGAAGAAGATGAGCAGAAAAAGAAAAAAGAGAAGAAGACTTACTTGGGTGGCCTTCCGCTGTCGGCGCCGTCGCGTGCCTCCGTCGCGTCATCTCATTCAACTCTTATGTGCCGCACCATGCTCTCTGAGTTTCTGCTACCAAAGCCTTGCTCCCATGCGTGATTTGGAGAGAGAGAGAGAGAGAGCAGATCTAATCTTATGATTTGAACAAGAGAGAGAGCAGATCTAATATTGTGATTTGAACAGGAGAGAGCGGGAGCATATCGAAGAGATAATAGGATGGGCTTCTATGTAGGAAAATATATACATTAAATTACATAGGGGAAAATATGTCTAGAAACATTAAAAAGACTCCTGATGGATAGTGTACCCGGGGGTAGCTTATCCGATGGTTATTATCGTGAATAACTTAGAGAGAAGTCAGAGCAATAAGTAAGAGAGAGAGTAGGTATTCGATTTATGTAGTTCTCGTTACAATGGGAAAATTGGCTGCTATTTATAGCAGTCATAAATGCTAGATCTAATCATCGAGGGTACACGTGTCAAGCAACCAGCGGTGGAGGGTCAACTCAACCAGGGTGGTGCCGACCATAGCACATGGCCGCATTCAATGTGGTGGTTTGGGCGTGATGTTGTACTTGATGCGGTGATTCAGTGTATGTGGGAGAGCATATCTTGTCGAGAATAGTGCCTTCGGTCGTACCTACCGGGGCCGAAGGCCCTACACACCGGGGGTCCCTAGTGCCGAAGGCTGTATGTGCCGAAGACTCTTATTTCAAGCCCTGTTCTTTGGTGATGTTTCTGGACCGGGTTTCATGAGTTTAAAGCCTTCGACGCGTGGGGCCGAAGGCACATCATGCGTATGTTTGTTGGGTTTGGCCCATTTGGACCTGTTGGGCCTGATCGTTGTAGTGGGAGTATATGCGTTGGGGGTTCCTCGGCCATATATTCCATCAGGAGTCCCCCAGTCCCTCATATTTTGGGGCTAAAGGCTTTTGTTGATGTCTTGAGAAAACTTTTAACCTTCTGTGATTTTCCCATTTTTATTCTCACCCGCGCGATGCACAAAATAAAATTTTATTGATCCTCGTTTTTAAAATATTATTCACATATTCCACATACATATGATATTGCCTTTATTCTTGACCCTCTTTCAAACTAAATGCTTTTCAAAATTGTTTAGAATATATACTTTTTTTTGTCCATTACCTATGTACGGAAATAAGTTCATAGATCCTAAAGAGCAATACAACGAGGTTAGTAACTTATTTCATCAATTATATAATGAGTTTCGTGCACAATATGATAACGCACACCTTCCACCGACACGGACATCTTCATCATTTAAAGGAAAATCATTTTTGATATCTACATTTGGTAATCTCATGAAAAAAGTAAATCAACTCCCTTTTAACGAGCTTTCTTTATATCTAACGTTTCATGTTGACTATGAAGAAGAGGATGACTTTGACGTTCTGCAGTGGCGGAAGAACAAAGAAAGAACCTTCCCAGTTTTATCGAAGATGGCTAAGCAAGTGCTATCAATGTCGGTATCAACAGTTGTCGTGGAACAAGAATTTAGTGTGGCTGACGATGTCCCAACGGATTATAGAACGACATTGAGCGCAAAATCTCTTGAGATGCTCGTTTGCTTCCTTGATTGGTTGAAGACCTTGCGTAGAACTCAAGAAGTTCGCATCGCCCCCACCCGCCACTCCATGAAGGAAACAACTTATGGTGCCGGAGATTCCAATTGATGTTTAGGAAATGTATTAACGTTTAAATTATTCTCATTTGTTAATTGTAGTTCATATTTCAAATAAATATACTTCAAATTTTTATTGTCTAACACTTGTTGAATTAATTTTTTAAATAAATTATCAAAAAAAAGCCTGACCCAAGTAACCCAACCCAAGGCCCGCCCGGGTAGCCCGGCTCTACCCGGTCCCAGTACAAACCCGGGCTAGTACGGGGCCTGATATCCTACGGTCTGGTCCCGCCTTGACCCGTCCCAGGACCCAGCCCGGTCCCTATCCACCACTAGTTGTAAATACATCACGGAATTGTAACGCTAAAATAAGCTACTTCAAACATTTGCGACTAAGTTAGTAATTCTGTTTTCTTTGATTTCCTGATATGCCCTATTCAGAGAGGGTAAAATTAGGCATGGACTCGGACCGGGCCTAGGCCCGGCCGGGCCGCCGGTTTGTAAGTGATGGACCCGGGACCGGCCCGAGGTCTTGACGGTTCCGGTTCGGGCCGGGCTACCCGCCGGACCGGGCCAGTTAAATCCATTTTTTTATATAATTTATGCTTTATAGTTTTATACAAGTATTAAAAACAAATTTCAAGTGCATTTATTTGAAATGAAATAGGAACTACATTTGACAATTAATAAAAAAATACAATATGAAATACATTTTGTAAATTGTAATCAATCGGAACTTCCTGCACCTCCCGATCCTTTGGCTTTGTCACATGACTTAATATTAGGGATGGACCGGTTCCGGTTCCGGTTCCGGTTCCGGTTCGGGCCTGGGCCCGGCCGGGCCTCGGTTCATGAAGGGGAGGCCCGGAACCGGCCCGGGTAACCCCCGGGTCCGGACCGGGCTGGGCTGGGCCTCGGTTCTTTTTTTTGGCTTTTCGTAGTTAACCCCAACCCTCCCCCTCACCCCCAAACCAACCCTAACCACATCAAATGGCCCAAAATACCTAGCCCAACCTAAAAACTTTAAAAAAATTCAAAAAATAATAATAAATTGGCCCGGCCCGGGCCCGAACCTGTGGGACCGGTTCACCTTTTGAAAGGTCTGAGCCCGAACCGCCATCCCACCGGGCCGGGTGGCCCGAACCGGGAAACCAACCGGTTCACCGGGCCGGTCCGGGCCCGCACAGTAGCGGGCCGGTCCGGTTCCGGGCCCGCACAGTAGCGGGCCGGTCCGGTTCCGGGCCTGTTGGCCCGGCCCGAGTCCACTCCTACTTAATATGCTTCATTGCCATCCCGTATCCGCGTGAAACCCCCATGCTACACTTTTTCCCATACCATTTGCAAGTTGCGTACTACATCCAAATCCTCGGGTCCTTCTGCTTATCAAAATTATACCGTATAACGGCATATTCACTTTCCATCTTAAAAATGGTAGATATAATAATTCTACAAATACTACAATAGATGGAGATGAAGATGAAGATTAGAGATTGGATGTTGGAAAAGGTGTGTATAAAAATGTTAGAAAATAAGAGTATTTATAGAATTTTTTGTACCCCTACCCCTCACCCCACCCCAGGACACCCTTGATTCAAGCACCTAACGACTATTTAGCCGTTTGGGTAGTCCCCAGCCCACTCCCAACGGCTCTTTGTGGCCCAATAGATTTTTTTTTAAATTTGACCATTAGACCCGGACTCGGGCTCGACCCGGCCGGGTCATCTTTTGCCAGAACCGAGCCCACCCCACCCATCCCCCCGATTCAGGTCTACACCCAGTCCTGGACCGCCAGATCGGGCCGGTCTCGGGCCCGCATGTAACACCCCCAAATTTCCCACCCAAAACATTGATATATTTAGAAGGAATTCTTTATTCATTCATCAAAGAGTTGAAGAAATACCGCGGAAGTCTAAAAGGGAAATAGGTGTTACCGCTACACCCGGTCATCTCTTAACCGAGTGCACAGGCAAACAAAAAAAACAATAAAACTAATGAAATAGTAAATAAATATTTATTTCATGACAAAATTTAACCAAGACATCTTCTAATTTGCACTCAAGCTCGAGCAATCCATCAATCCTTATAGACATCCCACTCATCACCTCATAAAATTTAAGGGAGAAGAGAGAGACAAGAGAAATAACAAAAATTAGCTTTAGAGCTAAGTAAGTACTACCCAACCCCGTAAAATAATCAGGTTTGGTGAAAATAGTTTTTATATAATACTTATATAAAAAGAACTCACTCCACCAAAATTCTTTTCTCTTTGATTTTTCTTAAAATTACTTCTTTACTAAAATCCTCAACTTCTCTTCGAAAATCTCTTAGTAATTCTTCTCTTTCAACTTCTTAAGAAAATCACTTCTTCTCTAACTTCCTAGTAATTTAGAAGGGCGGTGCTCAACCTTTCGACTGAGCCCGGTGGACCGTGGTTACGGACGGCCACCCCGAACAAGTGCCGGTACCACAACTGCTCTTGCGGAAACGAAACGACTACCTTAAGTGTGCACATCCCCTAAAAGGGATTCCAAGCCCTCCGAGTAGTAAGTCGTCACGAGTAATCGGGACTCAGTCTACCAACTACCCCTGAATAAGATATCTCTGAATGATTAGGGACTACTACTACAACTCTGCTTCTTAAAAGGGATCATCGATCCGAAAGTCACTCAAAAATCTCTTCTTAGTAGTAGCCCTAACCACTCTCCACATTTTAAGGGACGTGGAAAACCAACATCTCAGATTACTCCCGAGATGCCTATCTCATGAAAACATACTTTTATCTTGGATTAGTATACTCAAAATATTTCCCCAATTTCTCAAATGCCTCGAAAATAATTAAATGAAATATTTAATACACAAAAGCACTTCTTCTCAAATATCACATATTGAGAAATTTTCAGATCACATGCATACACTAAAATCATGTATCACATAATACATATATAATACGAGGAAACGATTTTGGATTGGCAGAGAAACTTGCCTTAAGTCCTGATGCTCCTAATTCTCTTCCTCAATTTCGGTCTCTAAATATTCACCTTTTTAATTAAGATGATATAGTTAGTCACTTATTGTATTTGTAATTATTTTACCCGATTTTATTCTTTTATTTTATTATTCGACTTTATTAATTTACCCCATTTAACCCACTTTTATTTATGTGACTCGAACGCTTATTATTCCCATTAATCAACGTTATTCATTAATAATAGTTAATCCGACTTTATCAAAGTATAACATATTCTATGTTGATAGTTATTCACTTACTTTCAATTTATAAGTTTAAAGTTTACCTATGAATATCCATTTATTACTATTAATAAATTAATCGGCCCAACAATTCTGTTATTATTCATTTATAAAAATCCGAATTTCTAACTTTAGTAATCATTAAAAAAAATACTAATCATCTAATTTAATCAAATAGTTTATGTTTAAATAAATAATCGAGTCGTAATTAAATTCAACGGTCCAATTCCTCTCAAATTGCCAAAACTCATCTACATAATCCGTATAAAATATTATTAATCAGTCCATTTATAAAAAAAATATGCCTGCTTAGCCTTTTTATTACATAATCGATTAAAGATTTCCGCTTACACCATAATTTACATTATGTTTTTATCTCAACTAAAAAGTGACAAATTTATCAAATATACCTTAGTTATATTCTCTTTACCCATATATATTAGTACCAGCATTATTTATCATTGTTTATCATTATTATTTCTATGATTATAATTATGTTTATTATTATCATAATCATAATAAATGAAATTGGTCCAACAGTGAATAATACGGAGTGCAAAATATGAAGAAGATCATCTACAGTACTTGCCGGCAAACGGAGGAAAGTACGGCGAGGTTGTGGAGGCTTACCAGGCTACGGGGGGAGGGGGGGGGGGATGACAATGGTGGTATATCTTCTGGCCGATGGAGATGTTCTACGGCAGTTTTGGTCCGGTGATAACGACCCAGCTCCTCCCTCGTTCTCCGGCGATGATTTCAGTTCGGCGAAGTTTCGGCGAACGATTTCTCCCTACTCTGACGTTCGTTTTCAACGATTCTTTCTTCGTTGGATTCCTCTCACGAAGGGGAAGGTTTATAGAGTATTTAAAGCTCTAGTTTTTGGCTAAAACGAAGGGTTGAGTTCTCGTGTGTGTGTATATATATATATGTGTGTGTGTGTGTGTGTACGAGTGAATTTTCTTGGTGTGCAGCTTTATGTGTCGATCCCCCTCTATTTATACTATTCGAATGGAGGTTCTAGGTCGTACTTCGGTCGCTGAGATCCGTCGGTTTTATCCGCTTAGAAATCGCATGAGTAGTATACTCATCCTAGGATTGTAAAAAAAAAACGGCTAAAGCAGGTAGTATTATTTTGATAGGTCTGTGCCTATGCTTGAACTATTGCAGCGGGTGGGAATAAAATAAAAAATAGTTATTGTTAGGTTAAGTTTATTAGGAGTATTACTGCTATTACTCCTCTTTGTTGCGTATACTTCGTATTAGGTGGAGAATTTTGCTTCAGTAGAATTCCTTTGTGATAAATCCTCTTGCTGCTAACGTAGGGGCTTAACCATTTTTGTAGCAGTACTTATTATTACTTATATTATTATTAGGTTATATAAGTGTAGAGTTAATTAGTTTGTATAAATTTTTCCATATTAGTTTTACATATGCAGGTGTTGACGTATTATGGTATTTTTTTTAAATCAGCTTGTACTTTGTGTATTTTATACACAAGTTAAAATAGTTATAATAACTTTTATCTTTTACACCATGTTTATAACATTACTTTTAAAAAACGTTACTTCTATTATCGGATCATTTTTATCTGACTAAAATGTTGTAAACTTGGAAATTTTTATCTGGTTAGAATGTCACAGATGTTGAATTTTTGTTTGACTCACTTAATAATTAAAAAGTCATTTCCGTAATATTTTATCTAACTAATAAAATTATTTTTATTTTCATTTAAAATTTTGGAGTGTCACACCGCACACTAGCGGGCCGGGCCGGGTGGCCCGAACCAAATCCACCCCTAAGTAAAATTTTATTATGAAGTACACTATTTTGACACTATTTAGGACCACTTACATGGTGAAACCATTATTATTACTTAAAAGTAGTAGAATAAATTGATAGAATATTGTTTACCAAATAAGGACATAAACTTTATTTGGCGATACCCAGAAAAGTAAGCATGAAGTTTTTTAAGGGACAGACGCACACACACAAAGGCCCTAATCTTAGCATGAAGCCATTCCAAAGATATCAAAAGAATAAATGGACTATACGAAAAATAAAAAAACATTTCGGAAAATGTTCCCCGGACACCACATTCAGATATTCTATAAAGGACCCTCACTCAATGCATCTACACTAAAATTCCTTCAAAATAAAATTTAAAAATTGAAAAAGAAAGCATGTCTCTACAAAGCCCGGTTTAAGCTTTCGTTTGTAACTTGTAAGCAAGAAAGAATGAAAGATTAACCACTTCCAACGATTTCATGAATTGCAAGACTGACAGAGGCATCCTCAGATCTAACGGCCAACTTCATGGCAACCTCTTTCATCCCATCGATTCCAAATGCTAACCTAACAAGCACCTTCACATTCCCTATGTATAGGCCCGAGAGTAAGCATGTATGTGATCTTGCATTGCTTGGCACCACTTCCGTTCCCTGCCAAGTACTCACAAGACAAAAACACAGTTTCAGCTTTCTCATCAATCAGACTGACAGTACACACGTCTTTGTTTAATTATATATCTAGCTTGTTTCCACAATTCCTTATTTGAAGAGTGTACTAGTATTAGTGATTTAGTTACCCAGGCTCAAATAAAGTAGGAGCTCATGAAGGATTTCGTTTGTTAATATCCATATTTACCCTTCCTTTAGCAATTAATTTCAATGGAGATTGTGTTCTAAAAATAGTTTTTTGTTCTTTGATAATTGGCACCATTTCTTTCTCTTCTTTTTCCTTACTTTTGGTATACCAAATAATATTCACAATCTATTCTATTTGACACTTCTTTCTCTCCTCTCACCTTTTTCTCCATTTTGACTTTCACTCTTATACTTTGTTTGGATGAAGATGAGTAGGAAAGAAAGAAGTAGGGGTCAAGAGATAGTAAGTACATGTTTTAATTGTTTGGATTGAGAGAAGTAGAAGACATATATACTATCAACAATGACATGTTTATATAGTAAAAATAAAGGGTGGATATGTCCATTTTAGTGAGTCCAAATTGTTTTGCTCTGTTTTTCTTGTTAAGTGTTAAGTCTCGTCCTAAGTAGCACGGAAACGGGAAACGGGAATGCTTTTTCACAACAATGCTTTTTTAAACGTATCATCCAAATTGCTTTGAGCTGTTGTTGACGAGATCATTTGAGAAGAGATTTTTTAAAGTGTATCCTGACAATGTTTTTTCATTTCGTCCCACTTTTCTTTCTTACCAAACAACGACAAAAAAACACAGCATTTTCTCCACCTTTCCACTCAGAATCTATCAAAACAAATTTTGTGTTAAACCAAACATTGTTTAAGTGATAGGAAGAGCAGACTTTCAGGTGCCATGAATATACATAAGATAGATACAGAAAGACCGATTCATTTTAGACACAAATAACACCATGCTTGTTTCAGAATGCAATAAAAAATGAAGAGGGGGTCGAGATGACTGACTGACCTCGCAGGGCTGCATGCCAAGGAGATTAATGACAGCATTAACAGCCTCAGCCAAGCTTTCTCTATGACCAAGACCGTATTCATCCACGTGCTCACTATCTGGCGTCATGCTTTCCCATGCATTCCTAAAATTGGACACACCCACTTTAAGCATATAGTCCGCTGCAACCACCTCCACGTCCTCTAGTTGGTATTCATCTTCCACCCCATCTTCCTCTGCTTCACCAGTACTTTGATCGACCTAGTAGTTAATAAGAGAGAGAAACTCGTCAACCACCAAGCTTAAGGCTAGAAATATATTTAAGAGTTAGGAGTAATTTGCTCTTTACTCCTACAAGTTGCGTGTGTTTGTTATTATCCTCGTAAGTTTACTTGTTTGCGGATGTTGTCATACAAATAATAAGTTGGGCCCATTGAGAACTTTTCCGCCAGAAATTCTGAAATCCACCGGAATATCAACAGCACCAGTTCCGGTGAATTTTTACTTTTCGGAGGAAAAGCCCTTTAAATGTGAGCAAATTTATTAGCTCCCCGACATAACCTACAAGTCGGTAACGTTATATGATTAATAATGGGCATGGGCATAAGTTATGAGACTAAATCAGCAAGTTTCTCATAGACTTGTGGTTCTATTTGGATCTAGAAATATGATTTGAGTAAAAAAAGTATGGAGGACAAGACATGGAGCTATATGTTCTAACTCTATTATATACAGATTAATAACTATATATGTGTATATATATAGGGGAGAGTTCAAATAAAAAGACACCTCATGCAAAGTGTGAACGGATTCACTTTATGCTCAATGCGATGCACTATTTCATGTTTCTATTGCACTTTTTCGCTGTGGCAAAACCTTTGGTTTATTTAAAAAAATTACCAAAGCGTTTTTTATTAAATATAGTGCATTGCATGGGAAGGTCTCTTAGTATTTGAGTCCTCCCGCATATATAGAGAGAGTAGTATTCCTGTTCGGAAATAACTGATATATATATATATGAAAAAACGCAGTTATTTTCAAAAATTCATTTAACTGACTTCCCGATTGAATATTTAACTGAAATTTGGTGGTCATAATTTACACTTCATGAAAAACATGCTCATAAAATTTAATCAAAAAATCCGCCCGGAACCACTTCAAACTGAGGTGGTCGGACAGCGGTCCATTTCCGGACAGGAATATTTGTGCGTGTACATAGTATATGGAAAATAAATTAAAAAATAATCTTTGGAACAAATTTAATTTCCCTTTGTATTCTCTAAAGAGAGTTCTACTTCCAAAATGAGAAAATGGTCAAAATGGTACATGAAGTAGTTTCGACGGGAGTAAATAGAATTTCATCTTGCATTTGAAATTTTAATGTACATGAACTTGTATTTTTATAATCGATCAAGTACGCCTGCTCTGTCAGAACATTAAATAGCTAACATGGCCAAACTATCCGTTTGTATTATACAATTGCGGTCCAAGTCATCAAATAATTAATCTATGAACTCTATTTTTCTACCGTCCACTCATTTCACCTTCACTCATCATCTTATATTTTTCTCGTTTTCCATCCCTTCTATCCACTCTACATCTTATATATTTATCCCGTCTGCTCTCCATGTTATTCCGCCGGCTTCTTTTTGCTCTATTTTATTTTCTTCTTCTCTTGTTATAATAAAGATGGACCGATGCAAATAAAAGAAGAAGCTGACATGATAGCAGGCTGAGCAGCCGAGATAGAAGGAGAGCAGCAGGGGCGGAGCTAGAGGGGGGTCAACCTAGGTCTTGGTCCACCCCAAATTTAAAAAATGCTATAATTTTAAAGTATAAAATGTGTAAAAAAATTTCCAAAAATATTATTTGTATTGGTCTAGTCTGGCCAAGTGCCCTGGCTCCACCCTTGGAGAGCAGACGGGAGAAATATAAGATGAAGAGCTGAGAGAATGGAGAGCAAACATGAGAAATATAAGATGAAGAGTGAAGTTGGAAATGAGTGGACTGGAGGAAATTAGAGTTTAGATTAATTATTTGATGACTTGGACTGCAACAATATATTACAAACTGATAGTTTGGCCAGGTCAGCTATTTTAACGTTCTAATAGAGCAAATGTACTTAATCGACTTTAAAAGTGCAAGTTCACGTACTTTGTAGTTTCAAGTGTAAGATGGAGTACTACTTACTCCACTTGAAACAAGTTCATGTACCATTTTGACCACTTTCTCCTTCCAAAATAGCCTTAAACCTACATTGTGAGAGAGCTTTGACAGTGGATATGCCATTAAGATCGGGGCTATTCTGGAATTTAGGTTGTGAGGCATACAATACTTCATATCCAAAGCACTTTCACCAATCACTAGTGCTAATTGTAGGGTTTGGATCACAGAAAAAGGTAGGGAAGGAAAAAGAGAATAGTGCTATCCTGGAACCTAAAAGAAAGAAAATGAGAAGGATTTATGTTCTCTTATGTTTGCGTTTACCGCGAAAAATGCAAAGGAAAATAAAGTATGATTGTTTTCAAATGCTTCACATATGTTTAGATTGCTTTGTTTTAGAAGAAAAATCCAGACCCGGCTTTACCTCTTTAACAATGAACCTCAATGTATTTGAGAATTTACCAACTGCAGGCACTCCTTCTGGTTTCTCAAAAGCTATAAATGTCTGCCCAGGCGAATCATATGGAAGGGATGTGAGGGGTTTAGCAGCCACTTCAGAAAATTCCTCAGCTTCAGAAGCATCAACAATAACAGTGACCTGGCAACACCAATAAGAATTTTAGAAGAGCACATAAGCAGTGATCAGAATTTAAGCTATTCATAGTATCATTACATTCTCCAACAATTGCTCTGGAATTGTGTTTGTGCAATTGTACTGAAATACAACGTGGCTATCAAATATGTGTTTCACCACATTGACTGAATATTCTGTCTCAGCTTCTGTAAGTTCCACTGGTGTTGATGACTGAAAAAAAAGATATCAATCAATCAGAAACTAATCGTCAACAATAATATAATACTCCCTCCATCCCTTAAAACTTTGACATCTTTCCTTTTTGGGACGTCCCAAAAAACTTTGTCACTTTCCCTTTTAATCAATTATTTTGTGGTTTCTGTTATTTCTCACTCCTCTGCGCAAATCTCAACCACACAATTTTTACTTTATTATTCTCCGTGCCGGTCAACTTTGGCAAAGTTTTAAGGGACGGAGGTAGTAATATTAAATAACTTACTGGCTTAAATATGTTTGTCCGTGCGGATATTGCGTTTTTTCTTAGGTCCTAGCACAATATATTTTCCATCATTTGCAATGGGACAATGGAGCCAAAGATTCACTATTTTTTGGCTTGAGAATATGATGGAATAAAGCAAAATGGCTCACTAAACTGTATGCGCTTCTTTATTGGAAGCAACAGTCAGTCCATGTATTTTTCGACCCGACTTTCACTATGGGTCATTCGGAAACAGTCTCTTTGTGCTTTAGTACAGGGCCGTAGGCCTGTCAATGGGTCGGGTCCGGGTCGAAACGTAGTGTTCCAAACCCGGACCCGACCCGTTTACCCGGCGGGTCTGAAAATTTGGACCCAGACCCAGACCCAACGGGTCTCAGAATCGGGTCGGGTAGACCCGCCCGCCAAGTATGATACGCACACCATTGTAAACTTTGTGAAAATATCAAGATATATGTGTGAAATATACAGCAAAGTGTACAAATTTAAAAGCAAAATATATCTTCACTTTTCAAAAAACTCAAGGTCTCTCAGAAAATTAGTACTTGTATCTAATAAAGTATCGGTTCTTGTACATGCATATAACTCCACACTTTACGCCGCTTTCTCTCACACAAAAAGCTCGTAGAATAAACTATAAATTAAGTCATAAAAAGGTCTCTTGGACTACTAAAAGTATAAAATCATATCTAGTATTATATATGATAATGATATAATACTACCTCCGTCCCACTAACATTGGGACGGAAGAAGGTGGCACGGTTATCAAGAAAAGCGGGTTTATGTGGTTGATATTGAATTGATAAAGTAAGAATGATTAAGAGCCACACAAACTTTACCAAATATGGTATGGGACAATCTTAGTGGGATTTCTCGAAAAGGTAAAATGGGACAATCTTAGCGGGACGGAGGGAGTAATATTAATAATAGTAGTAATAAATATTAATTTTAGGGTATCTTACTATCTTGATCAGTATCACTTATATAGTATTTATGTATTAATGTGTATATTTTTATTGAATAATCACAAATTCACAACTAATAATTTTATGTATTATTATGTATATATGTATATTAGTTTATATTTTATTTAAAATGTTATAACTAATCACTTTATGTTTGAGTGTATGTGTATACAAATAAGAAATTTTAAACGGGTCCGGGTCCTTAACGGGTCAGAATCATATGTACCATACCCAACCCGTTTATTTAAAATACTAACGGGTCCGAATCCGGATCCGGGTAAACGGAATAAAATATAGATTCGTACCCATTAAAAACAACCGGGTCCAGGTCGGGTCCGAGTCTAGACCCGACCCATTGACAGGCCTATACAGGGGTACAACTGCGTACATCCGACCCCCCTACCCCACTGTAGGTGAGAGCCTTTGCGACACTGGGGTAATGATGATGATGAGTCATCCTAGCAGTTTAAGTGTGTGGGTGGATGGGTGGGTGGGTGGGTGGGCATCTGATATTCTCATCACGGATTATTACAAGAGTTAAGGCTAAACTAAACATTTTTCTTTCTATTTCACACCACTCTAGCTCTTTGAAAACAAAATAATGAAATATCAAGCTTTAAAAAACCTGCAATTCACTTTTATAGTGGAGGGTCACGGGGAGGGACTAAAAAGTGGGTGGGTGGATAAATAAAAAAATAAATAAAAAAATAAGTAAATAAGTAAATAAATAAATAAATAAATAAATAAATAAGTAAATAAATAAGTAAATAACTAAGTAAGTAAGTAAGTAAGTAAGTAAGTAAATAAATAAATAAATAAATAAATAAATAAATAAATAAATAAATAAATAAATAAATAAATAAATAAATAAATAAATAGGATCAATAATAAATCCTATATTTGCAAGGATAAACTTATGTGAGCCTTGTAATATAATTGCAGGAAGAAAAAAAATTACCCAACCCCTGCAATCACTTTTTTAGTGGAGGGTCATGGGGAGGGACTAAAAAGAAAGAAATATAAATAAATAGGATCAATATAAATCCTATATTTGCAAGGACCAATAATAAATCCTATATTTGCAAGGATAAACTTATGTGAGCCTCGTAATATAATTGCAGAAACAAGGAAATGCAGTCAGTGAAACCTTAAAAAGCTTCCCATAGCTTGAAAACTCTGGTATGGATGCAAGTAAATTTTCATATGCATCAACAGCTGATGTGGGGCCAGAAGGAGGGGCAGCTAGACCACTAGGTTTTTTGCCATGCGCTTTCTTCTCTGCAATGGATTGAGACTTAACCTCCTTTGAAACACAATTGATATCAAATGGCTCATCTGAGGGGACCTGCATCAGTTCAAAGTGTATAAGAGATTATTGACAATGTACAGATACAGAAAGCGCAGACTACAACCAGGAAAATTACTCACGTAGTTCTTCAAATTTGTTTCTAAATTTACTGTCGGGACACCAAGTGGTCCAAACAAGAATTCCTTCACTTCTTCATCAGTTTCAACAACAGCACCATCACCTCCTAGGGTATTCAGATAAAGTGTTGCCCTATCACGAACCTGCAAGCAAAATAGCATTCTAGTCAGATCCTTCAATGTAGGGACAAGAGAAGGGGTTGATGATAAATAATATGACCAACTAAAGTATTTGGAGGTATATGATATGATCAGTCCGATTCTCTTAAATAATTAATTGGTCTTTTATACCCAGTATATAATATGAAAAAATAGAAAGCAATGCAACGTATAAAAGTCATGGAGAAATCATTTAGATCTGAGAATGAGAAAAAAAACTACAACATATGTATAGCCTGACCTCATCATCATTGTCGAATAGACACCGTTTCAACAGAACAAAGATGCGGGGCTGCACCGAAATTATGTAAGAGTTTTAGTCACAGTAAGTCTTATAATTATAAAAGAGGCAAACCATACCTTCAATGAGTCAATTATCGCTCCAAATTTTGCAAGAGTACTGACAGCACATGCCCGAACTGTTGCATTTTCAAGTATTATGCGGTTATAAATGTATCTAATGTATTTACTAGGATCTGAAGTCTTAGGCCCTTCATTTCCAAGAAAGTGCAGTATCTGATAACACACAATGCACTGATAAGCATCACAAATCACCCAGAAAGACAAGCTACAATTGCATGAAAAGCAAATCAAGAATATATAATTCTAAAATTAAAACATTAACCTGGGCGGAAAGATATGTAAATTCACAATCCTCAATGAATTCACATAAATGAAGGAGCCCACTTTCTTTAGCATCAGGGATATCTCTTATAAGAATCACAATTGAATCCACTATTGCTTTCTTGTACTCAAACCCACCTTCTTCTCTCAAAATATTGCTTAAGAAATTCATCCTATTGGTGAAAGATGAGAGGTTACCAGAAATACTTATTCAAGTAGAAAAGAGACAGAACAATGAAATATTATCGAACCTACAATAAAAGGTATGGTCATTTGGATATACATGCACACAAGTATACAAGTTCAACAAAATCCACAACCACTTACAGAGATCGGTACTTGAGGGGGAACTTTAAACACAAGGACCTGATGGCTTCCACCACAACAATCTTAAACTCATCAGCAATGTCAGACATGAAATTAGTAATTTGCTTCATCAGACGATCAATGCTTGACTCATTGCCAGTTTTAAGGAGAGTTGTGATCGCAAGAGTTGCTATGCTTCTGTTTTGATCAGAGATCAAGCTTTCCATGTCAATGTTACAGTTCGTCACAGCCATCGGATGCGTCATTGCGACCTAGAGATGTAAACATCCAAAAGGGCTCAACCCCACAGCACCACAATGCCAACATTAAAAGAACTAAAGAATATTATATGGTGAGACCTTATTCAAAGTGCGGACAGCAGCAAATCGAAGAACCGGCTTTGAAGAGCTTAGGAAGAGCTGAAGCACAGTAATTGCTGGAGTTAATTCCCGACTTGAGACGCTACTGAACTCTGTGATTGCTCTAGCAGCTTCTAAAATAACCATATCTGCTTTGTGACGAAGACACCCCTCTAAGTAGTCATAAAACGGACGGTCCCCTGTTTGATTAACTCCAGATTCTCTTATGACCTGAATCATGGATGTAAGAGCCACATATGTTGCACATCAATATAAAAGCTTCAGATACAGCAAATCTGTCCCTTGCAAATGTAACTTCATAGAAAAAGTTGCACCTGGCTTGTATAGCGAATCAAAAGACATTGGGCCAGCGGTGAGCGAACAGTCCCTCTTGTCAAGCTAGTAACTAGTTTGTTTACAGCTAGACGGTCATTTTGCCTTATCTGAAATTAAAAAATATATTTTGTTAATGCATGTCCCATCAAATGGAGACCACTTTAGGCCTTTGTTTGGTTGGGAAGAAATAGGAAGGACAGAAGTAAAAGTGAGAGATATATAGAACTTTTCATGTTTGGTTAGGACTTAGGAGGGATGCAAGAGGGAAATGTTTGCTATCACTTCTATTGTTCTGCCACATGGAGAGAAATGCATTTCTTCTCAATTCCTAACTATTTCTTCTCCATTTTTCTAATGCCAAACAGTAAATAAAATCTACCAATCTACCATACTTCTCCACTATTTTCCCTGTCTCCCTTTTTCACTGGTTCCTCTTCTCTCTTCTTTATTCCTTCTCTAAACTAAAGGAAGACTAAAAAGCAGGTCATCCTCAACAAATAGTTAGCACAACCTGGTGCAGCAGAGCAAGTGCGTGGAATTGTACAAGGGCAGCCCTTGATTGAATGGCTTCTTGTACCTCATTGCTCCATCTTTTCACAATTTCTGGATTTGTCTGCCAATAAAATGAGTCATTAATAATAATGACAATAAGATTCTTTGAGTGGGTGTACCACTAAGAAACAAGTAAGAGGAGACGCTTGACTGATTTTTCTACCTGAAGCAAGTGAATTCCACTGACAAGCGCAGCACTAGCAACAACAGGATTTTTGTCAACAATGGCTTGCTTCAAGTATCTTTCTATTTGAGTAAGAAGGGTTCCATCCACGGTGATTCGGCAAAGGACACGGATAGCATTTGCCCTGTACATATCAGTTTTACTATTCACGTCCTTCATCAATGAGCTGGTCACCATGATAACCTTTTATGCCAGAAGAACATGTCACTTTGATTCTTACTAAGATCATAAGTTTAAACAAATATAAAAAGAAACAGGTTGAAACTAACCTCATCTGCAGAGGGACAGAGCTCCTTAATAATCAAATACACCATTCTCCTGAGACCAACATCTTTTGATTGGAATAGCTTTGTCACGGAAAAAAACACTTCCGTAGCTTCAAACTACAGATTTATTTCAACACAAAAGAAAAGATGAAACAGAAAATATTCCCCATTAGCCACAGTCACGTGCTCAACGCAAACTAATAATTTCTAGCAACAGAAAATTACACCAACAGTTTTGCCAGAGCATCATAGAACTTGAAGAGCAACAAAATCATAATGTGAGGCTAGGACCTTATTTGACAAGTAGAAGTATAAACGGGCATATGTAATTGAAACCAACATAGAAGCAAAATAACAGAAAGTGGGCAAATATATACAGGTATGGCTTAAAATGCAAATCAAACCAAGTTGGAAGAAAGGAAAGGGAGTACTACATCCCCCCCCCCCCCCCCCCCCCCGAGAAAAAAAATGTTCCTGCCATCAGTGATTAGATTTGTGCATTCATGAACTCATTATTTCATTTCCCATCATATGCCGTTGAACATTTCAACAACTGACCTTTGTGAATGTTTCGCCTTGGTTCATAAGATACAGAAGCTTCGTTATGACCTATAAGCTCGTGAAATGACCAATGAGGTAGATTAATCAGTTCATCCAGTGAAGCTGAAATAAGTGCAGCAAATGGAAATCATAATAGCAATGTGATAATCATACCTGAGAACATCGTCTGGCATCTAACTGGGAATCATTAAAAACCCTGGCTTCCTGTAGGACTCCACCCTTGTCAATCCCCAGAAATGGAGAGAAATCCACTGCATAGTAATGCAATTGACCACACAATTAAACAATAAGCGGACAGACCCCAGTTCTTAAATCGTAATCCTATTTTAAAGCCCACCCCACATAGATCTACACCAAATGTAGCATTTCTCCAAAACATTCCGTCAAGCAAAAATACGTATTAGTAAATCAATCCAGTTCACTAATCATGACGAGCAAAAACACGCAATAGCTACTAAACATAAGCAAACTTTTAACAGCTTGGCTCCTAACAAAGGGATTCACATTGCTGAGAAACTAGTAGAAACCCCCGCAATAGGTATACTTCAATTCGTCTCAGGCCAGAAATATAGCAAATGCTGATCCGAGGATATTGAAAGACAACTTATTGAATAGCAATCGGATCATTTGGAGAGGAAAACCACACATAAGCAGAATATGAGTCAAATTATGAGTTGATATGTAAATGCATATCAATTATATGTATAGTTAATTGTGAATTAGGGAGACTATACTTTCGTCATCGCGATCGTCGTCCTTCTTCACAAGAGGCTGGGCCATTTTGACGAGAGAGGACGTGCAGAGATGTTGAGAATTCGATGGAAGAGAATTTGAGATCAATCAATCTCTCTCTATCAGAAAAGCTCACCAAAAAGTTTAGCGGTTCCCAGATCTCCTTTCCAGGCCCGGGGTGATTACAGAGAGCGATCAAATGACGAGTGACATCGAGGTCAGGTTAGCTGGCTCAAATTTTTGTTTCAGTGGACTGAACAATTTTTGCTCGACCCCAATTTTATGTCATACTGCTCACTATTTTAGAAGGTGATTGGGTTGGAAAAAGATCATGCCATGTAGCCGGGACATCGCTGTCCCGGTTTTCGGATGAATTTTTTGATGCAATTTTTTGAACATATTCATCCGGATTATTTCTATAATTTTTTAACTTAAAATTCAATTCGAGAGTCAGATAAATTATTGAAAAATAATGCACTTTTATGCATGTAGTTTGGCGTAATTTGTTTCAATAATTTATTGAACCGGCCTTTCTTTTGAACTTAGGCTAAAATTTTATGTAGATATTCTACACTTCACGAAGAATATTCTTAAAATTTTTCATTCAGAAATTCCATAGGGAACCGCCCCAAACGATGGTTCAGTTGTCCGGATAGGATCATTACCCGTGATGTGTATTCTTATTGCTTATTATTTACTTATTTTATTCAGATCAAATAAAAAATCAACCAGGTCAGGTCAGGTCAGATTAGAAAATTTTGATAAGATCATAAAGATTCAGATCGTATTAGACCAGAAGCATTCAGATCAAATCAGAAAAGTTCAAGCATGATTTATTACTTATATTAGTATATATTAGCATTGTTATTATCAATATTATTTTTATTATTGTTGTATGTTATTGTTATTAATTAGAAAAAAAGTAGAATAACATGTACTATGGCTAGTCTGCTTTTAATTATACGTATTATATATATGTTATATATGTTTAATCCCTATTAAGGGTGTTGTCTTCCGTAATTGATCTGTGACGATTAGCATACACTACAGTCGGTCATACCATCACGTGACAGGCAACATGTATGTTTAATAACCCTATTTGTCAATAATTCTCTTTGTATTTACGCCTCATTGTCTCCTTTGCCTCAGAATAGAAACGTGCAACCTTCGTTGTGCTCCATAGGACGCCACCTTTGTCTGGCCACAGGAAGTCACCTTAGTCTACCCAAATGGGTTCAACGTCGTGGTCATCTTCTCGGGGAACGAGAGATGAAATGCAGATGGACTGTTCAGTTGAATGCCATCACAAGGTATGTTCGAAACTCATAGCAGTAAAATCTGGGCAAACCGTAGACGTAGATTCTATGGGTGCGCGTTATGGTCAGTAAGTTGGACTGATTGCTGAAATATGTATGAGCTTTTTGAATTAAATTTGTATGAATTTTGGGGCTTTTCTTTATAAAGCAGGTTGCTCATTTTTTCAATGGCTTAAAGATTTTCCACCTATGGCCAACTTCATCAGGAGAAAAAGGATTTAGAAGATCAAATTGCAAAGTTGAAAAGGAAGAAACACAAGATGAGAAATGTAATTGAGGGGCTACAGAGTAGTACGCGAGCACGCCAAAGGAAAGAAATATGCATTTGTCGGTCTACTCATAGGCACTAGTTGTTAGTGCCTAAGTATACATTTTTATTATTGTTTGTAATGTTTATTTACTAGTATTACGCAAAATTGTAGTTTGCATTTGATTGTAATCGTATTTTTAGCATTTTATTGTTTGTTGTGAGTTGTAGTTAGTTGGGATATAAGTTTAGGATAGGGTTGGAAGCAAGAAGGATGAGGAAACCTGAGTTTTATGCAAAACCCGGTCGGGTATGGCCTTTACCCGGTCGGGTATGAACTGACAGAGGAAGTTTCTGCGAAATTAGCAAATATCCGTTCGGGTATTTCCTATACCCGGTCGGGTATGAAGTGATTTCGGGCAAACGAACGTGCAGAAGAACACAAGAACATGGGGAAAAGATTTGATTTGCCAAATACTCGGTCGGGTATAGCAAATACCCGGCCGGGTATCCGGTCATAGGTCTTGAAAACACCTATAAATAACCTCATTTTCCTTCAGTTTGAATCATCCCTTCTTCCATATACTTAAGCTCAACTTAGAATAGTATTTTCTTTATATTTTGCTAGCATTTTAGTCTCCAAATGAGGAGTTAAACTTCTATTTCTTGGTTTTGCTCTTGAAGTTTGTTGATTATTAAAGATGTGAGTTATTTTCTTAACTTCTCTCCTTGAATATTAATTCTTCCCTTAATCTATTTCTATATTAATGTTGGGGAGTGTTGCTAAGATGACAATTAGTCAACATCTCAATAGTAATTATTACTAGAAACGATCAACGAACCGATGGTTAATCGTTGATGGTTTCACGAGTAAGTAACCTCGGTTTATTAATGCACGGTCGTGGTTAATAAACTTAAGAGAGATTAATTTTGTTGGTTAAACCGAAACCGTTGTGTTGAGGTTATCAATCTCAATTGATTTCATCAAGGAGTTAGAAAGATTAAATGCTACTATTAAATCGGTATAAGGCGTTGTTCTATATTTGATTAATAGTAAGGGTTATTAATGAACGGTCGTTGTTAATAACTACCCTTGATGAATTAGATATACTCCTCGATTGAGTATTGGAGATGGGATAAGTTATAGATATAACAACGATCGACTAAATATATCAACAAGTGGAAAGTAGCAAAGCCAATTTCCTTTTATCTTTGAATTAAATCACATGTACGTTGTTCATCTTAGTTTTTAATTAAATCATTCAACCCCAAAAAACCCCTTTAATTACTAGTTTCATATAAAAAGAGAATTATTCCTTCCCAGTGGATACGAATTCTACTACGTTATACTACATATAAGTGTTAAGTATTAGATTTATTTTGACGCACTATGACAAAAGTGCTAGTCAAATTTGGCGTCGTTGCCGGGGATTCGGAGGCGGAGATGGCGGCTATGGCGACAGCTCAGACATTAACGAGGATGAGTACCCATATACAGGCGGTTTTCATGACAATTACTATGGCCATGATGGATTCTTTGATGGAGGAGATGCGGGCGGGCACTAGGGACAGTGCCATTGACTAGCTGGGGGCGACTATTCTAGTATGCTCACATTTCACGCTCTTTATCTACTTATCTCTTGATTTTGTATGCCATTGTGTTGGATAGTTTGGATGGTGTATGTTGTTAGAGTATTATAATGGTAGGGAGTGTTGTTACTGCTTTAGTATTAGTTTGGATGGTATTTGTTGTTAGAGTATTACAATCGTATGGGATTTTTTTACTTTCTCAGTATTACATGTATAATGTCTTTGTATTAACATAACAAAGATTGTGTATGTTTGTGTTGTGTGTTGTAATTTGACCTTAATGCAAATCTTTGTTTTCAAACAAAGTTGAGAAATTCAGGTTGATTTGTGTAATGTGTATGATTAATGTGTTGGTTTGAATGTAAAGTGGGTTAATGCTCCACATTGTGTTTGGTTTGAACCTTATTCTTAATGTCAATTTTATGCAAAATGGTATATGTGAAATAATTAGCACATTGCCATATTGTAAAACAACACAGTGAAGAGCATATTGGCATCCAAAGGAAATCCCACATCCTATGTGAAGATCTCTTCTTATATGACTAAACACCGTAAAACTACGCATTTCCAAACAACACATTGAAAAGCAGATTTTAATGTTTGAGTAGGCAACACATTCGAAAACAACATATTGAAGAGCACGTTGACAGATTCATTTTCAGTCTCATCCAAACAGCATTCTTTGACATTAAATGCACATGTCCCATGTTATCCATACAAATAAACAAGTACATTATCCTTCAAATACATAAGTAAATTATCCTTACACTATCGCGGCCACAAACAAATTAAACACCACACTAATACGATGAAACACGTTCAATTTCAGTCCTATCCAAACATAATTCTTTGACATTAAACACATGTCTTTTACATTACCAAAACACATTTGTCTCATATTATCCATACAAATAAGAAGTACACTATCCTTACAAATACATAAGTAAATTATACTTACATTACCACAACCACAAAAACATTAAACACAGCACTAAACTACTGAAACACATTCAGAGCCCGTTTGGTAATACGAAAATCAGCTGGATCGGCTGATTATGCTGTAATTTATGAAGTTCTGGCTGAAGTGGATGGATTGGTTGATTATGATGATTTAAAGAAAATATTATATTTATGATAGAGTATATCTAGAGAGAAGTGAGAGCTAGAGAGAGAAGTGCAATGATATGCTTCAATAGAATGATTTTGTAACCCCCATAACTACTCCCAAAGGGAGTATTTATAGAGAAAATTAGGGCTGGGCTCCCAAGTCTTGGGCTTGGGAGGCCCATCTACAACTGGACCGCTACTGGGCCGAATACAAAGCCACTAATGGGCTGTACAAATGAGTAAGTATAAAATCTGATTCTGGGAGGTCTTCTTGGCCGACGAGGGCGTGGCCGACGAGGGCATGGCCGACGAGGGCACCCAGGTTCCTTGGACTCAGGACCATAATCCGAGTTGGCTCCTTTTCGGCCGACGGGGGCGTCTTGGCCGACGAGGGCGCCACTCTGTTGTCTTGTGCTTTCTGTTCTTCCGAGTATGTGGGTCCGGGGGCTCAGTCCCATATACTCCATCAATTTAAAATATATTTCATTGTTAAAATAAAGAAAAAGTTTTATGTAAAAATAGCTAAAATGATAATCTACAATAACTTCAGCCAATACAGCCAGAAAAGTAACTTCAACCTTACTTTTTCTTATTGTTACACAATTCAGCGCGCGAAATCAAAATTTATGTGTTTGGTAAAAAAGTTGGTTGATAAGCCTGATAAGCCGAAAAACATTGTTACCAAACGGCCTCTCAATTTCACCCTCATATTTAAGATTTTCAATCGTTAATTTATTTTATTACATTTTTCAATTATTTTTCAGTCC